TTTGAGTTTGTTTGGGTTCTGGTGGGTTTTTTTATAATTTTATCCTTTATATATTTTAACTTGCATGTTGCTCAATTGAGTACCGTGGGCTTTGTTTTAACCAAATAACCAGGTCACCACGAAATTTCTCAACAGTTTTAGAAAGCACCACCTGCATTTACTTCTATAACTAGTCTAATCCCAGTATTTCTCATTCTAGCTAACAGCTCCATCTTTCATGGATTATTTAAATCTGTGATCAAATCCTCTTCCTTGATTTCTTTCTCTTAAAGATCCTCATTCAGTCCATCACAGCAAGTACTAATAAACTCTCTCCTGCAGAGTAGATGGTGGATTCAAGCAGCCAGAACCATGGCCTCAGGGTTAATAGCACTAATCCCTCTGGGCTAGGCCACAAGAGCACCCTGAGAAATGGTATAAAGACTTTAATATGTAGCAAATCCCCCTCAAAGTTGGAGATATAGAATAAAGCAATGTAAAATGGATTAACATGAGTCCTTACTTAAAGGAATGCTGTTTTCTTAGAATAAGACCATTAAAGGCAGAATTTCTTCCTTTTATGCCCTTTGACATTTTAACTTCTTCAAGACTGTGGTGCTTTGGTGGAACAAGAACCCTAGGATATTTTGTGGAATGTGTGTGAACATTAAATGGTTCATTTGCCATGGCAAAACAAGTCGGCAAAATGGGCTATTAAGAATTCATACATCTCAACAATATCTAGAGGTTATTTTAATAAATGGCCCAGGATAAACACTAATCACCAGCAAATTGTAGCCAGAATATTTTTCTCTCTGAGATGAATCAGTAGTTCATCAATGTATTTAATGAACTGCTGCACTAATTCGTCATTCTTAGGACCAGTGCCACCTTCCCAAGGACTGAAATAATTCCCTAATAACAGGAAAGGACAATATTAAGATCAGTTATTCATAGGATTGCTGTGGGACCTGCTTGACTTGCTGGTACCTAACAACAACAATCGATAACAAATTTTCTCAATTGTTCTTTACCTAGAACATATTAAAAGGAGCCACTTATATCATTAGTTTATCAGCTTTACCAATAAATATTTATTAAAACAACATAGCCACTTCAGGTATAATTTAGGAAAGCATAACAATCAGGCAAAGGAATGCATGAGAACTTAATTTTTAGAGGAATGACTAAGCAGTCTAAAATATGCTGACAATAACAGGGATATTAACAGACACATGTGCATAAAATTTCATAAATCATGTCATATAGTTTATTTGATCTGTGAGATGATTTTTACAAGTGAGAAAAATGAGTCTAAGGGTTTTTGTGACTTTAATTTCCCCAAAATACATCTCAGGTCCTCAACTTCCCAATAGCAATAATTTTTTTGTAATATTTTATGTTCTTGTTGATGTGTTATGTGCAATTGAGTCGTCTGCAACTCATAGCGACCCTATGTACAAGAGCCCTAAACGCCGTTCTATCCTGTGCCAACCTGTCTCAAACACATTCATTTCCACCACTCTACTCACAGAATCAATACATCTCATCGAGGGTCTTCCTCTCCTGTGCCATCCCTCCACTCTCCCAAACATTATGTCCCTCTCCAAGGACTAGTCCCTCCTTGCACATGCCCAAAGTATGTCAGACAAAGCTTCAGAATCCTTGACACCAGGGAACATTCTGGCTTCACCCTCTCCAGGACAAACCTATTTGTTCTCCTAGTAGTCCATGGTATATTCAACACTCTTCTCCAGCACCACAGCTCAAAGGCATCAATTCTCTTTCTATCATCCCTATTCACTGTCTAACTCTCCGATGCATAGCACATAATTACAAAGACTGTAGTTTGGATCAGGCACACCTTAGTCTCCAGCCTGATGTTGTTGCACGTCAGTACTCTTGAGAGGTCCCCCACAGCTGATTTTCCCAATGCAATTCGTCTCCTGATTTCCTGGCTGCTGTTACCAAGAGTGTTGACTGTGGAGCCAAGTAAACTAAAACTGTTAACCATCTCAATCTCTTCACCATCCATACTGATGCTGCCAATTGGCCCAGTAGTGAGAATCTTTGTTTTCTTGATATTGAGCTTCAATCCATATTGAAGACCGCAGTCCTTGACCTTCTGCAGCAAACGCTTCAGGTCCTCCTCAGTTTCAGCAAGCAGGGTTGTGTCATCTGCATAACGCAGGTTGTTGACAATTCTTCCACCAATTCTGATGCTACATTCCTCCTCGTACAGCCCAGTGTCTCGGATGATCTGTTCTGCATACAGATTGAAAAGGTATGGAGACAAAATACATCCCTGACGGACCACTTTCTTGATTTTGAGCCATCCAGTGTCTCCCTGCTCTGTTCTGACGACTGCCTCTTGGTCCAAGTATAGGTTTTGCAATAGCACGATCAAATGTTCTGGGATTCCCATTTTTCTCAGAGTCAGCCATAGCTTCTTGTGATCCACACAATCAAAAGCCTTTGCATAGTCTATGAAGCACAGATAGACATTCTTCTGGTATTCTTTGCTTTCTGCCAAGATCCATCTAACATTAGCTATAGCTAGTTATAGCTAGGGATATTATAATATCCCTAGTACCACGACCTCTTCTAAACCCAGCCTGCACATCTGGCAGTTCTCTGTTGACATATTGTTCCAAACGTTTTTGGATAATTTTCAGCAGAATCTTGTTTGCATGCGATATCAATGATATTGTTCGATAATTTCCACACACTTTTGGGTCACCTCTCTTTGGAATGGGAACAAATATCAATCTCTTCCAGTCAGTTGGCCAGCTGGCTGTTCTCCAGATTTCCTGGCACAACTTAGTGAGCACATCCAGGGCAGTGTCTGTTTGTCGAAATAAATCAATTGGTATGAAGTCAACTCCTGGAACCTCGGTTTTTGCCAATTCCTTCATAGCTACTTGTACTCCCTCCTTCATCACCATATGTTCTTGCTCATATGTTATTTCAGGAAATTCCTGTGTCAGCCAATTCTTCTGATGCAATGACTCCTTCCATCTTCTTTTTATACATCCTGGATCATTCAACATTCTACCCAAACTATCTTTAAGTATTGCCACCCATGGCTTGAATTTGTTTTTCAACTCCTTCATCTTAAGAAACACTGAGTGAGTCCAGCCCTTTTGATTTTCTGACTCCAGCTCTGCACATTTCATTACAGTATCTTGCTTTATCGTCCGAGTTGCCTTTGATATTTTCTATTCACCTCTTTGATCTTGATTTCTTCCTTTAGCTTTGGCTTCTCGGTGCTCTAATTCAATACTCAGAGTCTCATCTGACATCCATCTTGGTCTTTTTTTCTTTTTTATCCTTTGTAATGATATTTTGCATTCTTCATGGACTATTTTCTTGATATCCTCCCAGAGTTCATTTGGTGTACGCTTACTGGTGCTCAAGGCCTCATACCTATTCCTGAGATGGTTTTGAAATTCGAGTGGGACAGACTTAAGGTCAAATCTTGGTTCCCGTGGACTTGACTTAATTTTCCTCAACTTAAGCTTGAATTTGCATATGAGTAGTTGGTGGTCTGTCCCACAAACAGCACCTGGCCTGGTTTTCACTGCTGATATTGAGCTTCTCCAGCGAATCTTTCCACAAATGCAATCGAGTTGATTTCTATGCATACCATCAGGTAAAATCCATTATGTGGACATGTTTTTATTAGACAGAAAAATAATGCCATGGGAGGGAGACCGTTAAAGTTAAATTACTGGTGACCACACAGGTAGTCAAAAGGTAATAAACAGCCCCAAGGGAGAGAATGACTTTTCTATGATGTGTCCACTAGGTGGTGCTGAGGGTCATCATCACAGACCATATGCATCTCCGCTGATCTCTTGCAGCTGTTAAGTCGTCAAAATAGGGAGGAAAGAAGCAAATGTGATTCATCTGGAGTTGCTGTATAATTAGAAAAGTGTGAGTGTATGTGTGTATAAGTATATGTTCATGAGGAGAGGAAATGGAGAACTATTTAAAGTGTTACTTTTCATCTATGCAGTTTCTCATAATGCTAATAGGTGGGGCTAAAGTGAAAAAAATCTTGCTATTTGCTGTGTTCATTCATATGTTTTACATTGGAGAGTTCTGGTGGCTTAGTGGTAAGGGGTTGACGTGCCAACTCAAAGGCATGCAGTTCAGATCCACCAAGTGTTTCAAGGGAGAAAGATAAAACAATCTATCTCCTATGCAATTTACTACCTCTGAAAACCCAGTGTGTATAGTCAGCTATGAGTTGGTTCCTACTAAATGGTACATAACAATTCTATATTGAGTCCCATTAGGCAAAACTGGAAGTTCTGGTGACATAGCTGGCAGAGAGTTGCACTGCCAACCCCAAGGTGCCACGTTTCTGGCAGTTTGAATCCACCAGCCACTCTAAGGGCAATTTCCTTTTGTGTGATTTATGACCTCGAAAACTCTGCTGGATAGTCAGCTATGAGTCAGTTCAGTTCTGACTTGATGGCAATGAATTCGTGTCTAATCTATACTGGCAATTGCAGATCTGGATTCTAAACACGCAGTTGGGTCTTATTTCAAATGTGATTTTCTTTCAGCCCAAGTTGGTTTTGTTTCAGGAAGGATAAACGGATGAATATTGATGGTCTCTCTCCTCCTGTGTACTATTACTTGCCAGTGAGAAAAGCAATGTGCAATATCACATAGGTAAAGGTTTTTTAGATACACAGCAAGATGAAATGGAGCTTTGATGGTGCAGTCTGTACCATGTTGTGGTACTAATCAAGGGCTGCTACAGCTGTGTGAAACTAGTTTGGTCAGAGCTGACCACTGGATAAAGAATGTGAGTCCTTATTTAGAATATTCCATATCGGAAAAGATATATGGCTAGGAATGAAGACTGATAGCCCATAGTTTTCAATGAATGATGCTTAGGTGACAACCTAAACCTTTTTCAAACTAGACAAGGAAATGCTCCACAGGTCTGTGGATCTCTACAGACTTTGGAGAAACCCCCACTCACAGTAATATAACCAAAGTTCCAATCAATTAGAAGAGGGTTCAGTTGGAGGAGACTCCTTCTCCCTTGGAGTAGGCTGCTTTTCTTCTGGGACTGGGGGTAGATCAGGTGCTTTCTGCCCACATCTTGCTACAGTGAAGCGACTCATGTGAAGAGCTTCTTCATAACCTGGGAGAGTGTCCTGAGAGGAAGGTATCTGGCCCAGGGAACCATGGGAATGAGCTACAGCCAGGATTCTTCGAGCTGCAGGACCAAACACTGATTGCAAGGCTGGTTAAAAAAAAAATAATAATAATACATAAAAAAGGAGAGAGAGGGCCAAAGTAAGCCTGATCTCCTCAGAAATCAGAGATTAATATAACACTTAATTTCCCTTCACTCTTCACAAGCGTCCAAACTGTTTTCACTCCTTGCCACCAATTTTAGGGAAATCCTATGATTTAGAAACCACCTCCATCCCTACTAAAAGAACCTTTCTTCTCTGGAATCTTCTAATACTCTAGTGCTGTTCCCATATCTCACTGCCCTGCCTTCCCCCTTCTGCAGCCTTGAAACAGTTTATTCTATTCCAGTGTTACTATAGGCTCTTTTAGAATATTTGTTTCCTGTCTCATTAATCTTTTATCTAGGGTACAACAGGAAAGGGAGGGAGACCATGTAAATAACAAAAGGTTATATTGTTCTTTCTTCAAAATAAATAGCCAGTGTTTTGGGACCTGGCTTCTGAAAGTATTTACTCCCCAATTTTAAGAAATACTGTAACAGAAAACAATGGAAATTGTCTTCTGATCATTACAGGGGGTGTTAAAGCTCAACTTTACAGTATCAAGATAGGAAGAATAAAGAAATGAATGTACATTATTACTTAACTAAAGATGGGAAAATAGTATAAATAATAGAACATTTATGTTTTTACAAAACCCAATATATTTCAGACAAAGGATATGTTTAAGAATATAAAATAGCTTTAGGGAAAAATACTAAAAACTGGATACGTCTTAATAGAAAACATTCGTTATTACATTATGTTGCCAAGATTCTCTATCCAAGCAATTTTTAAACATTTATTTTTTTCCTGCAACACCTCTGTTTCAAATCTCTACTTACTGGAAAACATCTTTTCTCCAGCACTGCTTTTATCTACCAGCAGCCAGAAAAATATTTTGAAAATACAAGCTTGGGAATCCAGATCACTATACAACTAGGTTTATGAAAATTAACCCTTATATACTATAAAGTCAATGTATACCTTTGTGCTCCCCTAATATTTAAAATGGAGCATTGATAGCCTAGGACCTTAGGTGCTGGGCAGGTAATCTGAAGGTTGCAGTTCATGAAACTCTTCTTAGGAGGAAGATGGGTAGTATCCACCCACAAACATTTATAGCCTCCAAAATGAAATGGAGGGTCACTATGAGAAGAATCCAACTCTACAGCAGAGTTAGGTTTGGATTAACTTCTTATTGTTGTTATGTGCCTTCGAGTTGCTTACGATTTATAGTGACCCTATGTACAACATCCCTAAACTGCTCTGTCCTGTGATAATCTCACTGTCTCCAATACACCCATCCTGATTACCCCAGTCACTGAATCAATCCACCTCATAGAGGGCCTTCCCCTCCTGAGCTGACCCTTCACCCTCCCAAGCATGATGTCCCTTTCCAAGGGCCGGTCCTTCCTTACAACACGTCCAAAGTATGTCAGACGAAGCCTCAGAATCCTTGCCTCCAAGGAGCAGCCTGGTTTAACCCTCTCTAGGATGAATCTGTTTGTTTTCTTAGCAGTCCATGGTACACTCAATAATCTTCTCCAGCACCACATCTCAAAGGCGTCAATTCCCCTTCTATCCTCCCTAGTCATTGTCTAACTCTCTGATGCATAACAAGTGATTGCAAAGACTATGGCCTCTATCAGATGCACCTTAGTCTCCAGAGAGACACCATTGCTCTTGAGTACCTTAGAGAGGTCCCTAACAGCAGACTTTCCCATCACAATACGTCTTTTCATTTCCTTGCTGCTGATGCCAAGAGTGTTGACTGTGGAGACAAGCAAACTAAAGCTGTGAACAATCTCAATCTCTTCTCCATCCATCCTGATGCTGCCAATTGGTCTAGTGGTGACAATCTTTGTCTTCTTGATATTGAGCCTCAATCCATATTGAAGGCTGCAGTTCTTGACCTTCTGCAGCAAGTGCTTCTTCCACCAATCCTGACACCACATTTCTCCTCATAGAGCCCAGCCTCCTGGATAATCAGTTCCGCATACAGATTGAAAAGGTATGGAAATAGGACACATCCCTGGCATACACCTTTCCCAATTTTGAATCACGCAGTGTTTCCTTGCTCTGTTCTGATGACTGCCTCTTGGTCCAAGTATAGGTTTTGCATTAGCACAATCAAGTGTTCTGGGATTCCCATTCTTCTCAGAGTCAGCCACAGTTTTTTATGATCCACACAAACACCTTTGCATAATCACTGAAACACAGATAGACATTACTCTGGTGTTTCCTGCTTTCAGCCGAGACCCATTTAACATTAGCTATAATATCCCTGGAAGCAGGAGCGGCATCCACTTCCAAAATGGCTTGCCTCCAGAAACTCTATGTACGAACATTGCTCAGGCCATTCGTTCATAGGGTCGCTATGAGTCATCTACGACTCGACAGCATCAAACAACAACACAACAACATAATATCCCTAGTACCACGACCCCTCCTGGACTTCTGGCAGTTCACTGCTGATGTGCAGTTCCAGTTGTTTTTGGATAATCTTCAGTTAAATCTTGCTTGCATGTGAAATCAATGATATTGTTTTATAGTTTCCACACTCTGTTGGGTCACCCTTCTTTGAAACAGGAACAAATATAGATCTTTTCCAGTCAGTTGGCCTAGTGGTTGTTCTCCAGATTTTTTTGGCACAACTTGGTGGACTGACTTAGCATAATTTAATTTTCATGAAGTTTCATCTCACATATTTTAGACATACTGTTAGGTGAGGCTCTTCCTTGGAAAAAGACATCACGCTTAGAAAGGTGTCAGGTCAGTGAGAAGAGGAAGGTCCTCAATGAAATGGATTGATGACAATGGACTCAAATGTGTTGAGGGTGGTAAGGAAGGCACAGGATATGACAGAATTCAGGTCTATTTCCTGTGGGGTTTGCTCTGAGCCCTTCTCTACGGGCGGGTGCTTAACCATAAAAGTAACAAAAACAATTTAAAGGACTCCTAGTGGCACAATTTTGTTAAGTGCTCAGGTTTTGACCCAAAAGTTTCTGTTTCCAACAAATCAGCTGTTTTGTGGGAGAAAAGATCTGGAAATTTGTTTCCATAAAAAGTACCTGGAGATTTGCTTCTTCCAAAACATTGCCTTGGAAACTCTTAAGGAGCGAGCCATTCTACTCTATGTCTCAGAGTCATGAAAAAACAAACTCTACTGACACTGTAACTTTTAAAAAATGACTTACTCCCAAGTCCCCTCCCATGTGTACTTACAAGCAATAGTGCTTTGGAGAGTACTGTCATGGTCAAAAGCAATGACTGTCACTTCATAGGGTGGTGGTCCTCCATCTTCCCCATTTTGCTGGCGGCTCAGACAGCAGCGGAAACACACAGAAGTCAGGCCACAGAGCAGAAGCAGCCCGCCAATTACCACCAGCAACCTGCAAAGAGCCACAGCTAAAGGGAGAGTTTCACTTCCCCAAATCTGGCGCAATCAGCTTCCAACATTTGCATTTTTATTATTCTTCGATGCTTTAAAGAAAGAATATACATTTTAGAACTAAAGCTTTCATTTTGCCTGTATACCTCCTTAACAGTGTCAGCAAGGCTATCAGTTCATTAGAACAATTGTTGGAAGACTTGAAGTTTGGGTGGATCATTTCTTCCTTCATTGAAGGTAATTTCTCCTGTGCAGAGAAATTTTTAGACAAGATCTTGAGGAAAGGACACAACAAATCTTTTGACATGTTCAAGGAGGCAGTATTGAAATGAGCAATCCTGGCACATTGTCACATAAGTTAGTGATGAGAGAAAAGAAACTTTATGAGCTGCTGGCTAAGTAAGAAGGCTGTCTCAAATTTTCTTCCTGATGTCAATATATGTTAAGATTTAAAAAAAATCGATGTCCCTGAGGAAATGAAAGCTTGTCTCAAATGTCTTCCTAGGGATAATAGCTGAAACTTACCATATGTACCAGAGATGTACCCAGTCTGTAGTCAGGCAACTAGGAAGGAAGAAAAAAGTTTTAACAAATTAAAATATAGTCAATATCTGCTATAATTTCAGAATCATAAAAATGCATTACAATATAATATGCCTTTCCATTATAAAAACATACAGTAATATTGTATTGTTGTAGATTGCTGTTGCATCAAGTATATCCCATAGCGACTCTATGAACAAAAGACCTAATGCTTTTCCATACTTGCCATCATTTCTCCAAGTTCATAGAGTTTCCACAGGCATCTGTTTTAGGAAGTGGATGCCACTCCTGCTTCCAAACCTGTTCACATCTGGGAGCTCCACCAAACGCTATCTATATTGGGAGACCATTATGGT